TTTTTGCGATTTAAAAAGTTTCTGCAAAGTATTTTATTATTTTGAATTAATGATTCTTATATTAATAAAATGTATTTTTAAATCTATTTTAATTTCTTATCTATTTTAATAACATTTTGCTAAATTATATTATGCTATACTATTATTTTGATTAGCTAATACTTGATATAAATTAAATGCTTATTATGCAATTTTATTATCACATTTTGCTAAATTTTGATTTTAATAGAATATTTTATTAAATTCTTTTCAATTTCTTAACCATATTGATAACATTTAACTACTTTATTTTTTGCTTTATTATTATTCAAATTTGTTAATAATTCATATCATTTAAATGCTTTTCTAAATATTTTTCAATATTTATTTCATTTTAATAATATTTTGCTAAATTATATTATACAGTTGTATTGCTACTTTCTACAGACTTTTAAAGCTAATAAAATGCTTCTTTCAAATTTATTTTAACTTCTATTTTACATCTATTTTGATAACATTTAGCTAAAATATATTGCACATCATTATTATTTTGAATAGCTGATTTTTAAAGCCAAAGAATACTTTCTTATTACGATTTATTACAGATTTTGATACCAATAAAATGTATTTTCAGATTCTTTTTAATTTCTCATTCATTTTGACAAAATTTAGCTAAATTAAATTATGTTTTGCTATTATTATTTAAATTGGCTGATATTTCATATTATTTAAACGCTTTTATTAAATTTTTTCAATTTCCCATCTATCTTGATAATATTTAGCTAAATTTTATATTATGCAATTTTATTGTCATATTCTGCTAATTTTTATGGCTAAAATATATTATGCATTATTATTATTTTGATTAGCTGATTGTTGAAACTAATAAAATATTTCCTTATTATCATTTTCTACTGATTTCTAATATTAATACAATGCCTTTTCTAATTCAATTTCTTATCCATTTTGATAATAATATTATGTTAAAATTATATTATACAATTATATTTTTATCTTTTGTTAATTTTTATAAAGAAGAAATGTTAAATTAAATTGTATTATAATATTATTTATTAATGATTTAATATTAAAATTTATGATATATTTAATAAATAACTTACAACCTATTTTTTTTTAAAAAAATTTCATTAAGATAAAGATTAAAATACATATATAGTAAAGAAATATATAAGAAATCTTACTTTCTAGAATATTAAAATATTTAAATTTAATAAATTTAGTTAAATATATATTTAGCTAAAAAAAATCTATGATTTTAATCAATAAATTAATTAACCATCTTTAATTTTAAATTTTAAAATTAGCTTTGGATATATTAAATGAAAAACTGATAAGGATAAATAGAATAACTTATGATTTATAATAACAGTAACATTAAATATGTTAAATAAAGTTTAATTAAATTTAACTTTATAGATTAAAGTATTCATAAATTAACTTATCGACTATAAATTAAGAGTTTAAAATAGAATGAATAAATAGTTCAAAATTCCATAAAAAAAAATACTTTCTATAATGTTTAATATTTAATATTTATTAAATAAAATTTTAATTATACTTTAATTAATATAAAAAGTATTTTAAAAATGTAATGATAATATGTAAAAATAATAGATAAAGAATTTATTCAAATACTTACTTTTTGTAAGATTAAAATTTTAAAATTAGTTGTACAGTGAGATCTCTCTAAATGCACCCCCTTGGGACCATAGTGAAAATTTGAAAAAATGTGCATTTAAGGAGGGTGTGCATTTAAAGAGAGAAATTTTGTATGATCTTTATATACTTGGGACTGTGTAGAATATGCATTTATAGAAAAAATTTATATGCGTGCATTTAGGGAAGATGAATTTAGAGAGGTCTCACTGTATTACAAAAATTATAGCTAAAGTTTAAAAAGAGCTTACTTTCTATTATAAATAATAAAAAATATAATTAAATAAATATAAATTAAAAATTTATAGAATAATAAAAAACTTACCATCTATTATATTAAATATTTTTATATAAAATATATAGTTAAGTTTAAATAATATAAAAAAATATTAAAATAATACAACAAAATAATCACATTCTATACGAATATATATATATATCATTATTAATAAATAATTTGTTAAATTTAAAAAATACAGTTGAAGAATTAATAATGTAACTTACGCTCTGATATTAAGATTATAATTATTTTAGTTTGTAAAAAATTTAACAGTTTAAGTAGTTTAAGTAGTTTAATTGAAAAAATTGGCGAAAATATAACTTACCAACTGTAATTAAACAAAATTTAATTGAGTTTAAATTAATGTTGAAGAATAACCAAATATACTTACATTCTATAAAATTATTGATGAAAAAATTAGAATTGTTTCAATTTAAATATAAAGAAATTAAATATAATTAACTCACTTGCTATAATATTAAGTTTTTTAATTTAAAATTAAATTATTTAGTTTAATTTATATAAAAAAAAATTATTGAAAATATTATTAAAACTTCAATTAAACGACTTACTAGCTATAAATCAAGAATCAAATTTAATTAAAATGAGTAGAGTTTAAATTAATATAAATATATTGTCATAAAATGAATAAAAATAACTTACAACCTTTGTCATCAATTATTATTAAAAGTTATGTTTGTTTTAAATTAATAGTCAAATATAAAGAATCAATAAAATTAACTCGCTGTGACATTATTTTTTATTTTTTAAAAAAATTAATTTAGCGATTTTAATTATTAATATAACAAAAATTATCATTAAATCAATAAAATAAAATAACTTGCTATCTATAAATTAAATATTTTAGATAAATTAATCATAATATGTGAAATAATAAATTAAAATTAAAAATATCCCATGAACCCTGCGGCTCTCTATATAATTGTAGTCAAGCCAAACCAAGTAATTGGATCCTGGCTATAGTTCACTAGATCGTTGGTAAAGATAGTGATTGACGGTCACTATGGCTGAGATGATCCCTCTATCTAGTACCTGTGGTGCTAGGTACCTAATTCAGGTCGCAACAAGTGGTTGGAGTTGTCTGGGTTAGGATGTCATACCTAATTAGTTTGGCACATCATGGGGGATGCACTCAGGCAGGGGGGAAAACTTGAAAAATAGTGACTTTCCTAAGATCAGTAGGCAGCTAACAGTCAATATTGACATAGTCTCTTGACACTCGTACTTCGGTAGGAGAAACTTGCGAAGCCGCCTTTCACTTCTGATGCGTCTAAAAAATAAAAATAAAAAATAAAAATAACTCACGATCTTTGATTAATTTTTTTTTTTTGCAAATAAAAAAAAAATTAGTAAACTAACAAAATATACTAAAATAGAAAAACTTACAATCTATAGTTAAATATATATTCAAAAATTCTGTGCCAGGTTATGTCGATCAAGTGACATATAAGTCATATGGATTTCCATAACAAAATAATTTCTAAGTCCCCAGTCCAGTGGAGTGGTGTGATAAATAAAAAGGTACCTAAGTGATCGACATAATTGGCATGCATGCCGAGCCGATTCTATTTTAACCAGACATTTTAACCAGACTTTTTTAAACCAAAATTATAGCACAATAAAATAAATTAAGTTTTATCATGCGGTGTATTTTTATTTACTATTAAGTGTATTAAGTGCAAAATCGTCAATATATATCATTGTTATAAAAAACTTGAGAATGACTAGAATGACTAACAAATTTTCGAAATATAGTTTTTTCAAAAAAAAAAAAAAAAAAAAAATCCATTAAGACATCATCGTTATCAAAATAAATAATAAAAAGTTTATATTTGTCCTTACTTCCTTCCAATATACCCACATACATGACAAGGATTGGAATCGTTTCAAAAATCAAAATCGAAAATCGAATCGATTTTAAAACGATTAATCGGAAACTTTAAAACGATTTTCGATTCCAGTTTTGAAAATCAAAAATCGGTAAAAATGTTAATTTTTTTTTATTTTTAAGTATAGATCAGTTGTAAAATTATAAAAAACAATTTTAAAGCTTTATTTATAATATTTTTTGTTAAAAATAAAAAGCTAAAGATGTTTTAAAACTAATTAATTAAGAAATTATGTTTCACAAGATTTGTTTGAGGCTTTTTATTTTTATTTTTTGATTTTGATTTTAAAACTTTTTTTTCAAAGCTACATTATTAATAAATATACTCTCAAAATTAAATTTAGTTGATCCACTTATACATGAATTCAGAATTCTGCCTAATGAAAATCGATTTAAAGTCATCATTAAACGATTTTTATATCAAGAATTTGATCCCATTTCTTATATGTATCATTCGTAGCGTAGTATTCAGATTGTGTATAGAGATATCTAGTGGTTATGTTTGGGACTAGTATCCTTATTTTTAATTTTGTTTTTACTAGAAAGGGGACGTTGCCGAGTTTGAGATTCAAATTCGACTTTGGCGATCTTCCGACTTTCGATTCCGAACCCTAATATGCTGGATTCCCTCTGTAACATCTAAATGGCTCATTGTTTTATTTGCAAGAAAACTTAAAACTACACCGTTGAAACAATTGATTTTTTCATTTTTTAACGATAACGATAAGGACAAAAAAAAATTTTTTTCGTAAGAGTTTTCTAGCGACATTCCGGTAAAAGTTAAAAAAAAAATGCTTACTAATCTGTATAAAAGAAGAAGAGGGCCTTATGTTTCTTCCTTTACATTATTATATATTTGGGGTTTAAAAAAAATCTATCAGATGAAAGATTTACTAAAATGAAGCCAAATAATGACCGAATTAGAATATTAAAAGTTTTGATAGTTAATAGTAAAATCATGACATCCTATATATATAAGAAGGAACAATTCCATAGATGAGAAAATTTAGTTTCATAAAATAAAAATCAATTATTTACGAATTTTTTTTCCTTATTTTGGTATCTATATTTTACAGATATTTAACAACGAAGATACGTGAATAATATAAAGCGTACATGTTTTTATTTGTTCATTATTAAGTATCAAAAATGTTCCTACAGTAACCATTCATGATTTTTATCATCAAATTTCTTTTGAAACAAAGCATCTTTCACCTTGAGATTCATGATTACTTCCCCACCATTCTGGAAACGGTACCTTTTTTAGATTTAACTCATGTTATTAATACATGTCAAAAAAGAATTTTTTTATTCCTCAAATTATAATATCTCACCTGAGCGATTCCATTAAAACAAAAGAAGATAACCATCGTAGCAATTTGTGCTGCACTATCCAATGCCGCAGAAAGTGCATAATTATATCTGAAGAATAAAGACAAAGCATTTAGACGCGAAACGAAGTTATGAAATTACAACAGCATCAAAATAGTAATCCGATAAGAATGCTTTACGTTTTCCACCATCTAAAGCACGGTCATAATAAATTATTAGTAATCAAAAATCAAATCAAGATTAAAAAATATACATCTTGTTACATTTGAATTACCTATTCTTGTATCGATAGGCATAAAACTGACTCAAAAAACTTGTCAACAATCCCATAATGATAAAATTTCTATAGTATACAGGAATTATTCCTAGTCCAATGCAAATTAATGGCACATTTACCAAATCAAACCTAGCTTTTGGGAATTTTCGATGTAAAAGGTAAACCGGGATTGGTAAAAAGAACCCAATTAAGAATCCCCATAGTAGGGGTTGATAAAAAGAACCGGGCTAAATAAAAATGCGTAGACTTTTAAAATGGTATTTTGCTAATTTTGCTAGGTTAATCAATAATAGCATGTTTATTTACCCCAAACGTTTTTGCCGGTCCAATCAAGCCCCACACTATCGATGCTGTGTTAACAATTTGCGAAGTATTAGCTGCCCACTATGATATTATTAAACGGAAATTTATTTTAATGGTCATAAAAATTCGAAATATTTAGCAAAATTACCTGGCCGGTTGGATCGTTTGTTGTACCATCAAGAAATGGTCGTTTTATTTGAATAATAAGTTGGCAAACCCAATAATTTACAAATCCTCCAATGACCGTAGCATATATTTGAGAAATAAACATGTAACGTGGAGGAATTTTCATATAATGACCTTTAAACAAAGAAAATAAACATTATTTATAAATGTACGAGTAGGGATTATACATTCATAATATCATTACCAAGCTTAAGGTCGGAAAGGAAGAGAAGACACTGAAGCAATGCCACGTAACCATAAGCTTTAAAGTATACATTGGCAATAGGATTTCCAGGAATCAGATATCCACAAACCATTTCAGTTATCACATTTAGTCCAAGTTGGGTGTTTGATGATATCGCCGTAATAACTCCTACAAATTTTCAAAAAACACGTGTCATTCTTAACAAATATTTAATACATGGTAAATAGAAAATAAAAGTTAAAACAAAATTACCGATTGGAAGAGCCAATATTACTGCTAATGCAATAGCCAGAATTGATGCCCACGCTGGTAAATGCGCTTCCGTTATGTATCCTAGTGCAATTGCAATTGCTAACATTCCAAAAAATAATATCATATACCATGTATTTGGAACCTCTAAAACAACAATCCAAATAAATTTAAGTTATTAAGATTGCTATAATCGTATGTGTTTGTGGTAAACTAAATTACCTGGATATTTATCCATCAATCTGCAATGAATATCACCCTCTTCTTCTTTACGATTAGCTTTGAATCTTCTCCAAATTTCTTCACCATAAAATAAGCACACGTGACTTATAGTTGCAGTAAGCATCATGAAGGAATATAAATATGTAAAAGCGAAACTAGTCGATATAAATACTGGACTATAATTTTCGTAAGCCGTGACATTTAAAGAACCGGTTTCTTTATCGATAATTGATAACTGTTCATATCTATAAAAAAGTTGAAATTAATTATTTTTGTTCAAAAATTTTATTAATAAACCGCTTGCCTTTTTCCATCTTTGTCCAAAGGAAATGAAGTTATATAAGGAAATTTCTGTGCATCACTAATATTGAAAATATTGCGTTAAAGATTACAATATTAATAAATTTATATTTAGATGAAATTTAATAATTACAAGAGATCGGCGTAGTATACAATTGGAACAATAATCCATGCACCAATAATTGCACCGACAAAATAATTCACTTGTACCCACCTAATCAATAAAAAAAGGTTATTTATCAATATTTATAGCAAAATGAATATCCGTTTAACAAAATATCATTACATACCATGGGGTATATAATGGTCCGAATTGTCCAAGTGCATTCCAATCCAATGAAATATTTAAAATTCCCGAACCATGATATCCGCTTCCTAACCTATTCATTGTCTTACTGAATGGAGCAATTAGGCATAATAGAGCTATACTTGTTAACATGTTAAACATGTATACCGGTACAAATTCCCAAATAAACACAATAATGAATCCAACAGCAAAGTATCGAAGCTTTTTACGTGCTTCGGGCATACTGTTGTGAAATGTATTGAACATAGTCGAGTATACAAGGTTAACCGGCCAAATCATGTTTGCTGGGCGAACCAGATCTATTGTTGCAATCATATTAGTCACTATCCATATTATTCAACGGATGTCCTTTAGACTTACATTTTCTAAGAAATCCTGCCATTCCGAATCCTAAAACTTGAGTACTTAATATCAGAAGGAAACCTTTAAAAAAGGGTACATGCGTGTTATAGAAAAGTTCTTGCATGGAAATAACGTCCTATTAAATAAATAACAATTGGTTAATTTCATGACTGCTCATATCTAATCAAGTAATCGATACATACAATAGCAAAAGCCGATCCACCTCCAGTATTGGCGGCTAATACTATACAAACGTGTTCTTTGACATTAAATGGACCTGTTGAACAAGATAAAACATATTATTGATACATTCATATCAAATAAACGCAAAGTATGATTTTTGTCAGTTTTCAATTATAATTAAACTAACCTGGGTTGAGACTAAATTTCCATCGCCAAATACTAAAAGTTCTCTTTGGAAGCACCTTAGCCATCCCATGTCCCAAGAAAAATGATGAAAGCAGCACGAAAAAGACGGAGTATTTTTGACCATTCGGACGAAAAAGGTAAAATGTAGATATTGCTGCGCCAAGTACTGTGAAGAGCTAAAATAAAGATCATATCATTAATATGATTCAAGATTACGTACGTAAGAAACTAAAAATGACTCACCGTACTCAAGACCCAAAATCTAAATGTTAAGCATTGTAAACTTGGATCATCCTTGGTGCTAACAGCCTAAAAAAAAAAAATTATTTAATCCGAAAATCGAAAAAATTTAAATATTTAAATGTTTACCGCAGCAACCATAGGAATTGTAGAATCATCTTCAATAATCGAATCTTTTTTTTCTATATCACTTTTTCCTTTTTCATTATTGATATCAGTTGTTTCGTTCATTATTGTTATTATTATTATTATTATTATTTAGAAATCCGTCCAACCTACAATGTTTGATATCTTAGTAAAGGATAGAAGGATAGATGGGTTTTATATAAAATTCGAAAATTTTTCTCAAAAAACTCTAAACAGTTACTATAAATCTGATAGCCATGTGAATTGATGATTTTCTAATAATCCTTAAAAGTTTGCACAACAATTATTAAAACTACTCCAAAGTGGTATTTCGGGCTAAGGGCTCATATATTATCGTAATAAATATATAAGTTTACGCAAGTTCACATTGTGAATCAGAGATATTCCGGACTAATCTGTAATTTGTGAATCGCGGGATACCATGTTTAGTTACAAGGATTTTTTGAACCTTCATATATGTTTTTTCATATTTTTCATATCTCATACAAAATGTAAAATTCCATATACTGTAAAAACGAGATTCTTATCCATAATAAAATGATAGGTTATTACTCTATTTCTAAAGCACAGCAATAATTACAACATGAAAAAGTTTTATTTACATAAGTATGCAATTAATAGTAATCGGGTTCGCTTTGAATACAGAAAGGTACGGTTAAATTTTTATCCATCTTACACTGAAAGTGATTAACCGAACGTATTCCGGATCGAATTTTTATATATCAAATTCATAATATTCCGCCGATTTCAAAATAAAATTATTTAATAATTCATTTAACAAAAATCCGATCAATTAAACCGTTGTCCTCGAGAAAAGCTTTGTTACTAATGAATTGAGCCACAGCTTAGTCCAAATACTCCCTTTTTATATTATTGGAACCAGCATGGTGCAGAAATTTTTATCCGCAAATATCAATGATCGGCATGTTTTAACTAAATTAAAATTCAGTATAGTATATAAAGGTTTTCTTCCAATTGCTATGCATTTTTTTGAATAATATCAAATTTGGTAATTTGGGGTGAATTGCATTCTTTATTAAGTTACACAAATAAATTATTTCTTTTTTAATAATTTTAAATTATTGATAACTTATAACAATGACATGAGAATTTAATTTAAAAAGATAAAAATGTTCATTTTTGTTTTCCTTTCTTGATCGGAGAACACTCCTGAAAAGCAATCTCATTTTAGAAGAATATTCTTTAATGTTTGCCAATAGTACTACTAATAAGGGATTCTATTGAACATCCGGACGATCCTCATCTCGAATTAGCAAATTAAATAAATATTTAAGGTTTCTGTTTTGATATTTGAATATATGATCGAAAATCATTTCGAATATCTTAGGGATGTACGGTCTAATTATTTTGAAATTACTAGTTATAGAAAAGCCTAATCCGTTATTAAGTAACACTTGTTTAAAAATTTTTAATAAAAATGGACTTTGAGATCGACAATTTTCATAAGTTGCCGGTCCTAAATTATAGAATCCCAAATAAGTTTTTTATTCATTTTTAATACTAAAAGTAAAGTATAACGCCAGTTAGAACCTTTTAACATCTCTACGAATATCGATAGGTCTGAAATTAAAAATAAAATTCGAACCCGCAATTATAATTTTTTTTTATATTTTGGTAAGACCACAACACCCATTAATTTCTTACTTAATAAAAATTTATATACAATTTGTATTTCCTACAATCTTCTGTATTCACTATAAAGGACTTCGTCCCCCGAGCAGAATTATTTTATATTACATAAATAGAATTAAATAGAATTTATTTATCAATTTTAACACTAATTTAATTTTTTTTTTAGTCTTTTCTTCTAATATAACGAACACATCCTCGATTTATTTACTCAATTGCTTCGCTCAAAATATTTTATGAATAAAAGATATTTTTATTTTACAATTAACCTTAATATTTAAAGTTAAAAGACAATATTCCAAAAATATTAATCAAAATTAAAACCTTAGATTTTTTTTCACATGTCTAAAGTTTTTAATATATTTTCAGAATGAAATTAAAAATAACGTTAAAGTATTGATAACAAATATGATGAAAGTTTCAGTTAAAAATAAGCTTATTAATGATTATAAAAAAAGATGTAATCAAGGATGATTTGAATGATGCAGAAGCAGCAATAAATAATGTAATAATAAGAATTTATTAAAACTCACAAGTTAATCATTTCATTTATATATTTAGAAATTAATAAATAATTATAAAAATAACCTATGGCAAATGATAAATGATTATTAAGTAATCCATTAAAAATATTTTAAATAATTTTAATAATTTGTTATATTGGATATAACAATATATTATCAACTATAAATTTGATTGGTCTAATTATATATGACATTATCCTATATTTAATTGTTCAGTTTATAAATGACAATATCGAATTTTTATAATTTAATAGATCAGTAACATGTAATAATATTGAAATTTATATAATATTAATAGTTACTCCTGTTATGAGAAGTATAACTGTCATTCATTATATTATATAGGAAGTTTGCTAGGAAAATGGGGGAAGATTGAAGAATTATTAACAAGACAAAAGACAATTAAGAGAGGTTTGAAAAAATGGAGGTGGATTACAAAGAAAAGAATCTAAATAAGGAATTCGCAAAGGTAATAAACTTTTTATATTTATATTATATTTATATTATATTACTATTATTTACCATTAATATTTAATTTATTTAGGACATTGTAAAT